TAAAAAGTGATCAATTACTTAAGAATATATAATTTCCGTTCAAACTATAGTACTGAATGCTTGAGAAACACTTATTTAAATCGAATGATCAATAGTGAACGCACTCGGAGCGAATTTTGGACACGGAGCGAATTATGCATATAACACTTTCTACCATATTATGCGTTTATATTTCAATTTAATATGATTAATTACTGAATAATATATGAACTCCGATCAAACTTCACTACTGAAAGCTTCACAAACAATATTTGAATCAAAAGATCAATAGTGAACGCACTCGGAGCGAATTTTGGAACACGATATAAAATATGCATGTTAAGACTAAATGATTTCTCATAAGCTTATGTTTTAATATAATACTAGAGTGCCAGTTACTGTCGAAATTCGACAGTTTTTCTAGTTTTAGAAGCCTTGGAGAGGTTTTCTAACTTAACACGTAGCGATACTTATACGGTACAAATTAACTAACCGGAAAATCTTCTGCTAACACGTAACTAATTTTCTTTTTTATCTGAAAAGGTCATTGGAGTACTTCGGCAGGACTTGGAATTGACCCGCTACATTTAAGTTTATCGATAAATTTCATTGATTTGATATATATCGATAGTTCGATGAATTTCAAGAACACTAAAATTTGATAACTCGACAAAATTCGTTAACTCGACCAATTTCGATAACTGTGAAATTCGATGGCTCGATAAATTTCGATAACTCAAAAATGTAAAAACTTTGGATACCTTTATAAATTTTTACTTTTGACATCTCCACATTTCTCGAAAACTATCTAAACATTTTGATAACTCGTTACACTCTGTTAAGACGATTAAATTCGATAAGCAGTGATAAATCGATAAGCTTACATAACGTTGAAATTTCGATAAATCGATATATTTTGAAAATTCCATAAACTTTGCTTTGTTGAACCAACGAATTTCAGTAGATCAATAATTATAATTATGCATTACGACACCTCGATATATTTCGTTAAGTCTATAAATAATGATAATTCAATAAATATCGATAACTTGATACATTTCCTTAACTTGACAAATTTCGTTAATCCCACACGTTTTTATAGCTCGATAACTATCCGTAAATTTGGACAACTAAGTTTCTGTGTCTATAAATTTCGACAACTTAGTAAACATTGATCAGTTTGAATAATTCGATACGTTGCGATAACTTAATAAGCATGGATAAATTTCGATAATTATAAACTTCGATGATTCGATAAATTTCAGTAACCTTTATGGCTGATTTTATTCGATTCCTATCTTTTAACCTAATTCTTATGTATTTCTCATTGTCTCCATTTTCGCCTTTATCCCAATTTTCGTCTTTATCTTCACTTTTGCCTTTTTTTTGTCTTCATCGTTATCACTTGTTTCTTCATCTTCATATTTATCTTTATTTCAAAGTTTAATTTCAAATACGAAGTAAAACAAAATGCGAAACGCTTGAATTGAACAGGTTGCAAAAACAACCGTTAACAAATATGGAAATTTTTAAACGACGATTTTCAACCAATTTCGAAACTATAAAAACTCTCCTCATCTACAGAAAATTACTTTCCAACGATGTTTCTGGTTTTGAAATCGGTAACTTTACCTTGGTCTTCATCTTTGTTTTTATCTTTCACATCTTTGCTTATATCCTTTTCTTTTTCTATTCACGTAGATGAGATGAGGTGCGATGACGTGATAAGATGTGACGTGATTTTATGTGATGTGATAGGATGTATTGTCATGTGTTGTCATATCCTCTGATGTCATGTCATATGATGTCATACCATATGATGTCATATCATGTGATACCACGTCATGTAATGCCATGTAATGTCATACGATGTCATATCATGTGATGTCGTCATGTGATGTCATGCCATATAATGTGATGTCATATCATATAATGTCATGTCACATGATATCGTGTGATGTGATATCATATTATGTGATGCAAAATCATGTGATGTCTCTTCATATCATGTGATAAAATGTGATGTGATGTCATGTAATGTGATCACATTCCATGTTCCGATTAGTGTATCGATAACCCTGTTGATAACTGTGTTGGGAAAAATACCGATAACAATATCCATACACATATAGAAAAATACAGCGATTGTAAAATCGATTAATTCAGCGATAAATATAACAATCATCAGTATCAGTATCATAACAATATATGTAAATGACTAAATCGATAACAAAATCAATTATTTAATCGATTATTATACCGATAATAATATCCATTATTGTATCGATAACAATATCGATTATTATATTGATTATTATATCGATTACAATAGCGGTTGTTTAATCCATAACAGTATCGGTAACAATATCGATTATTTTATCGATTATTATATCGATAAAATTATCGAGTTTTATATCGATAACAATATCGAGTTTTATATCGATAACAATATCGATCTTCATCCTCATCCTTTTCTTCATATTTAGCTTTATTTCTGCATATTCCTCTTCACCTTTACCTTAAAGTGTTTAAATTTACCTTCATCTTCGTTTTTGCCTGTATCTCTAGGCATCTTTGTTTTTGTTTTTATTCTCAAACCGCTAAACCACTGAGAAGCATTTCCATGTGCATTATTCCCCTGGAATTTCACAATTTACTCCCAACCAACCAACTGCCTAAAGAAGTTTCACTTCATAAATTCAATAAAATAATAATAAATTCGTTCAGTTACTCTAATTCTTATTTATCCGTCAATGTCTCCATTTTCGTCTTTATCTTCACTTTTTTCTTCTTTTTTTTTACTTCATCGTTATCATTTATTTCTTCATCTTCATATTTGTCTTTACTTCAAAGCTTAATTTCAAATGCGAAGTGAAACAACATGCGAAACATATCAAATTGAACATGTTGCAGCAACATCTATACACAAATCGGAAATGTTTAAACGACGGTTTAGGCCGTAATTTTCAACCAATTTTGAAACCATAAAAACTCTGCTCATCTAGAGAAAAAAGCCTTTCCAATGGTGTTCTTGGTTTGGAAATCGGTTCGGTAGAATCTCCAAACGAACGGAGACAAAATTCATGTTAGCGTATTAATATATAGATAATTAATTACTGAAGAATATATTAACTCAGATCAAACTATAGTATTAATTGTTTGACAAACTATTTAAATCAAATGATCAACAGTGAACGCGCTCGGAGCGAATTTTGGAACAATTCATAAAATATTTACAGAGGAAGTATATTATTTAGTAGAGATCAAATTGTATTTAACAAAGCGTGATTGAATTTGACCATGCTATCAGAAGAAACATCCATTTGTATGAATTTTGAATCGTTTATATTTTTCTACATAATAGTATCTTAAAAGAGAGCCGCACTGAGTTGCTAATAACACCTTGGGCCGTATGCATAAAAACTAAGCAATTACTTTTTCTCAGATTTTCATATCTTTCACTTAAATTTATTTGAAAAAACTTAGTGAAAGATCTGAAATTATAAGAAAAAGCATTTGCTTAGGTTTTATGCATACGGCCCCTTGTTTTATACATCCATGATACAAATATTTAAAGGTAAAACCGCTTGCTCAATTCGTCGGCCATCATTTATTTTTTGAAGTTTGTCTATTTTATAAAATTGAAATTTTGAGAGCAACTCAAATGCCAAATAAAAGTAAAACAAAAAACAAATAGATGAAAATATTGAAATTTTCATTTATTTGAGACTGAAAATTAGAATGTATTTGAGATTAGAAATTTGAAAACATTTTTGTAATGTTAGCAAACTTTAAAAATGTTCAGGCTGCCTTTCAGCGGTTTTACCTTCAGATTTTTGTATCATGAATACACCTTGGTCGAGATATCACGAACAAGTTTTCCTTTATTTATTTTTACTTAAAATCCTTAAATATGAATCTTGATTTTAAAAAAAGGGAGGACAGTCGGATCTACGTAACCAGAACGACCTAAATGCGCATTGAAGTCGGTTGTATTTTTTGCTTAAAATTACTTGTTATTATTGAGATACAGTTTCGCTGTTGTATTCTTTTATTGCATGCCTTAAACTTTTTTACTTTAAGTTATTATGTTGAAGATATGCGTTCTCCCTTTGTCAAGCACTTTAGCTAGGTGCGAGAAATTTAGCATATGCGCGTAAGAGCATAGAGTAGGTATACGGCTGTGCTGCCGTGTTTCTCCAACATCTTGTCAAAGGAGAAAACATATTGGTGGCGGAATCCATCGTAGTCCGATTTTTTTTTAAATCTACGAAAAAGCGATCACTGAATCTGAACTGCTATGAACGTGTGTATTCAAAGCAAGCGCTGCGTTCGTAGCTACTCGAACTAATAGCATTTTCGTAGATTTCACGAAAAATTGGACTACGATGGATTCTATGATAGCCTTGATTAGTTCGTGCGATTACGACTTATGGATCGATTATGGATGGGAACGGAACCGCAGTTGGGTTGCCGATGGACAGCGCCACTGAAATGAAAATGTTTTTTATTATGAATAGCAATAATTAAGTTTCATAAAGTTCAAAGTGGTACAATTAAAAAAAAAGTTGATAAAATAAATAAAGTATCTCAATCAAAATTTTTCGGCAGCCACAAAAATGCAGTTTCCAATATAGCAACTTAGTTGCCAGTTTTCAGTTGCTAGTTGCCATCGATAATACCATTTCAGTCACTGGCCAACCAACTGAAGTTCGGTTGTTCTCCGTAATCAACCCATAATATCGGAATCGAATATGCATGCACGTTCTGCAGAACGATAAATATTTTGAAAATGTTTGCTCTGTCCGCTAACGAATTCCAGCCATGTGTGAAATATCGTATGTGAAGCCTCCGTCTGACTTAACGATTGTCAAGGGCTTGCCAGAAGATGTTTCATCATATGTTTTTGGCCATCGTATTTTTCGAGTAAGTTCATCGATACCAAAAACTTTACAACCTCTATATGCCAGCAGCCCTTAGTGCTTTTGCCAATGACATGGTACTATTGCACTGTTAATAACCAAATTTAGCCGCAGTTGCATTCACACGCCAGGAGATGGCGTTTGTTCAGCTATCGAAATCATTACACCGACGGCGGTGGGCAGTTCTGCTGGAACATATTTACCACAGCAGTGGTTGCAGCGTTTTGTTCTGCAACAATAGCCTGCAATGATGACATGTCATATAATGTCGACGAACAAAGATATAAAATTTAAAATGACTAACCTTATTCCCGGCCGATTTGGGAGACCACCCTTGGTCACGACCAGAACGCATTTACCAAGAGGAAAAACCGCAGGGATTGCAGTAGTTCTTGCAATCACCGTTGATGATGCTGTGCTTGTAATTAATAGTCTGCAAATACAGAAAATTGCATTAAGGAAATGTTATACACATCAAATAAATAAATTTCAATAATTTGTTTACCATTTCACAACCGAATTACCAAGAAATAGAAACTCACCGCGATGCGATACAGAAATAAAAACCAACAGGGCTGCATTTTCTTGGTAAAGGCCTGTATGCAGCTCTCAAGAAAAGCAAAAACTCCATATAAAATGACGTACAAGAAATGGCTAAGAAATTTTCTTGAGTCAAATTTCCTTACGGCAGTACGCAGTTCTTAAGAAATTTACTACGCTTTCTACTACGGTTTTCTAAAGCTTTTTGTGAAAAAAGAGCACAAGGCAACCCAGGTTTGCAACAGAAATATATGCCCGTTCCATTATTTCTTGAGGAAAGAGTGAGGCAACAGGCTGTGAGGTATCAAAAATGTCAAAATTCCTTGGACACACACGCGAAATAATGGCAATTTTTTCTTGACCGTTTTCTTGAGAGCTGCATACAGGGCTTTAACAACACAAGCGCTCCGAGCAATCTGATCTGCAAAATTATTTTGTGAAAAATAATAGTTGAAGAATTTTTACACATGATTATCCCATTAACTCATAAGTGCAAATTATTGTGATTATTTTTAGTTGAATATAATTGTATTACCTTAGACTTTTTTTAATGTTTTCTAATATTCATTCTTTTGGGACGCAAAAGCAACCATGCGTCCAATTTCTTGTGGGGAAATTTGGTCCCCATAAAGGACTTTCACCACGAAACAGCTACAAAAACAAAAACCTTTTCTACTGGTATACTGTGGTTTGCATTTGTACTTCATGCTGTAAGCATGGCATGCACGAGCTGTTTTGCTGAGTACACATATACAGATACAAAAAAATTGCGCTTGTGTTGGTAGCTCTGCCAACGCTGTGCACCACTGTGCTAGACCTATCGTCTTTCTCCATTCATAGTACTACGCAACCATGTTTTTAACCGGCGAAGGGTTGAAAAACTTTCGGAAGTAGCGTTACTAGTTGGGAGTGTGACCAGAATGCTTAGAAGTTTGTTAATCAATGGAAAAGCATATTTGTCGCATTTACCAAGAACTTCTGCTGCTGATTTTGGGAATGGCTTTTCTCTTTCCTTATTTGTCCAGCGTTCCTACCACACTTTATACTCTCCTTCCAAATTGATACCGTCTTTTTCTAACAAAGTTCGTATCGTTTTCCAAGCGATTTTACGCGTAGAATAGCATTATTTTTTTCGCCAGGCGTATTATATTCCCCAATTTTAGATGGAAGTAACAAGTTCAAATCAAAAATGTTTAATGTCTCTTTCGGCAATCTATCTCGGAGATCGAGCAAAATATTATCCAACAGCGGTATAAATATTGCCTTTCGATAATAATCTTCAACGTTAGATGCACGATAATTAGCCCGGAAATTTTGTTTCGCTCTCCGAGGAAGGGCAATGTCAGAATCCAATTCCTTAGCGATATCAGTAACTTTTGAAAATATATCAGAAAAATGTGTGTCAGCATTTTCTCTATATTTCGAAGAATATTCACAGTGCCATTAACTGCTACGCTAGCACGATTCAAGTCAAGCGAGGGCGCTTGGAGAATTAAACTCTTAATTTATAATTTTTTAATTTAACTTTTTAATTTGTATTATATTTTTCAAGTCATTCATATTTTTCTGCGCATACATATGTGTGTTTACGCAGTTGAAAGTGAAATTTTCTAAATACGTGCACGGCGGAAATAGACAAAAAGTAGTATCAGAAAGTTCGATTTGACATACATACATACATTCATAGTATCTACATACCCATTGTTTTAATTTTTCACGTTCACGAAGAGTTTTACACGATTACTTATTCTATAAATAATCTTGTGCAAGACTAAAAAATTGTTACGATTGAAGATTAAAATAAAAAAAAAATAAAATTCTTTTTTTTTTCAAATTTCTCGTTTGAGCTAATATATTTTACCCGAAAATTCTTTGGATTCACTTCAAAATTGTTTCTCGGGGGTTTTTGGGATCAAAATTTGGTTGGTAAATTTTGAAAAAAAAACTGGCAAAAAAACTGGGCATTAAAAGATATGTCTGTGTTCATATGCAATAACCGCCTAAGTCGACTTAAGAAAGAATTGGGTTATATATGATATCGTATTCTGCAACTACTATTCCATGTGTAAGTGATATCCCCATCTCGCCAGCTGGGCTATTTAATGAGTTATAGACGAACATATTTAGGTTTTCCCATAAGGATAAAATTACAATCCAAATGTTTAAAACGTTTTTTCTCGAATTCAGGTTTTTCGACTTAGGCGGTTATTGCTTATGACCGCAGATTTATTTTTATTAAAATTGAATGACCGTGCCCGATTTTTTTACCTTAACAAATTTTGGCGAGAAGGGGCTGCCGTTGACAAAGAATGCCGCATATGTACATACAAACATCTTCGTCAAAAAACACATCTGAGATTTTGTTTTTGTTACTTCTTTGGTTGCAACATTTACACTTTATAGAGATAAAAGCTACAGTTATTGTAGTAATGTATGCAATTGTTTAATACAGCAATTGGCGATTTCAAGCTACATATGTAAATATCAGAAAAATTGATGCTTCTCAGAAAAGTTTAAAAGTCGTACCATCATGCTGTTCTTCTTCTTCTTCTTTTTTGGCGCTGTAACCGCCTAAGCGATTTTGGCCGAGTTCAGCAAAGCACGCCAGTCGTTTCTCCTCTGTGCCAACTGACGCCAATTGGAAACGCCAAGTGAAGCCAAGTCCTTCTCCACCTGATCTTTCCATCGCAGTGGGGGCCTCCCTCCTCCTCTTCCTCTGCTACCACCAGCGGGTTCCGAGTTGTATACTTTCAGAGCTGGAGCGTCGGTGTCCATTCGAACGACATGACCAAGCCAGCGGAGCCGCTGTATTTTAATTCGCTGCACTATGTCCATATCGTTTTAAAGCTCATACAGCTCATCGTTCCATCGTCTGCGGTACTCGCCGTCGCCAACGCGTAAAGGATCGTAAATCTTCCGCAAAATCTTTCTCTCAAACACCCCAAGAGCCGCCTCATCGGATGTTGTCATTGTCCATGCTTCTGCGCCATATACCAGCACGGGCATGATGAGTGACTTATAGAGCGTGGTTTTCGTACGTCGAGAGAGGACTTTACTCCTGAATTGCCTACTCAGTCCAAAGTAGCACTTGTTGGCAAGAGTGATTCTACGTTGGATTTCAATGCTGACATTATTATCGGTGTTAATGCTGGTTCCCAAGTAAACGAAATTCTCTACTTTCTCGAAATTGTAACTGTCAACAGTGACGTGGGTGCCAAGGCGCGAATGTGCTGACTGTTTGTTTGATGACAGGAGATACTTCGTCTTCTCCTCGTTTACCACCAGACCCATGCGCTTTGCTTCCCTATCCAACTTGGAAAAGGCAGAACAGACTTCGCGGTTTTTGTTACCGATGATGTCGATGTCATCGGCATAAGCCAGCAATTGCACGCTCTTATAGTAAATTGTTCCTGAGCGGTTCAGTTCTGCACCACCATGCTGTTACTTTATGAAAATAGCAGCATTAAACCTGTTCCAATCATGTAAGCTATAGGAAACAAGTAAGAAAGTCTAAGTTCGGGTGGAGCCGAACATTAAATACTCGGCGAAAGTATTAAATATATGTTTTTTCACCTTTCCGAAAGCTACCGCTAGATGGTAAGCCGGGGTGTATCAATTTTGAGTAAATTAGCGTCCTTAAATTTCGAAATATTGCAGTTTCAAGCATTTCTGAAATTTACCGTTATATGAAAAGCGGCCGTAATTTTAGTCCGATTTCAATAATTTTCAACGTTTTGCTTTTATGTAGCAAGCACAATAAAAATACCGAGTTTGGTACAAATTGGTAGAACGGTTACCGATATACATATATGTGATCATAAGTGGGCGGTGCCACGCCCATTTCCCAAAATTTTACCATAAACGTATTTCTTGGTAGAGAGTTGTTGCAAGCATCAATTTTGAATAAATTTGCTTTATTATTTACTGATTTATCGAAGATTTCGTATTTCTGGAAATTACCGTTATATGGGAAGTGGGCGTGGTTACTGTCCGATTTCGCCCATTTTCAATACCAACCTACCTTGGACTAACAAAAACCTACGTACCAAATTTCGTTGAGATATCTCAATTTTTGCTCGAGTTATCGTGTACACGGACGGACGGACAGACGGACAGACGGACGGACAGACAGACATGGCTTAATCGATTTCTCTATTCATTCTGAGCATATATGTATACATTTGTCTATATCTATCTCGATTCGTTTTGGCTGTTACAAACAACCGTTATGTGAACAAAATTAATATACCCTTGTGCACAAGTGCGCTCGGGTATAAAAATAAAACGTATGAGACAATTCAATTAATTCTGGTTAAAATTAATTATAGTAAATACAATTTGTGCCGAGCCAATTGTGATTTTAAAGACTTGTCATTGCAAGGTAGAATTCAGACAGGATACACAAAATATTGCAGCATGTTTTGTTTATGAGATAGTGGTTGTAAAGGAAACCAATATTCGAAAAAACTTGGCCTATACGAAGTGAAAATGTGGCAAGGTCAATGTTGCACGAAAATCCCTCGAAATAATAACAGTAATAATAATAACGGGTGATTTTTTTGAGGTTAGGATTTTCATGCATTAGTATTTGACAGATCACGTGGGATTTCAGACATGGTGTCAAAGAGAAAGATGCTCAGTATGCTTTGAAATTTCATCATGAATAGACTTACTAACGAGCAACGCTTGCAAATCATTGAATTTTATTACCAAAATCAGTGTTCGGTTCGAAATGTTTTTATCGACAAATTTTGTTCAGCGATGAGGCTCATTTCTGGTTGAATGGCTTCGTAAATAAGCAAAATTGCCGCATTTGGAGTGAAGAGCAACCAGAAGCCGTTCAAGAACTGCCCATGCATCCCGAAAAATGCACTGTTTGGTGTGGTTTGTACGCTGGTGGAATCATTGGACCGTATTTTTCAAAGATGCTGTTGGACGCAACGTTACGGTGAATGGCGATCGCTATCGTTCGATG